GGAGCAACTTGACCCTGGGGGGATGGGGAGGACTCTCCGAGGAGGTGACATCTGAGCTGAGACCCATGGGAAGGGGAGGAGCCTGCCCTGCAAACAGCCTGGAAAAGAGCCTTTCAAAGGGAAGAGGAGGCAGGCACCCCTTCAAAGGGAAGGGGCAGGACGGGGTCATCCGGAGGGGCAGGTGGCCAGCCCCTGTCAGGCAGAGCTTCTGCAGGAAGGTAGGGGGATCCAACCCTATGCGGGCTTTACCAGGGCTCTGAGCCACCTGGAAGCTCACTCCAGGTGCCTAGAGGAGGATAAATTGCTGAGGACAAGGGTGGAGGCCCCGGCCGCCTCCCAGGTGGAAGAGGGGGCAGCGTGGGCCAGTTCGGTGATGGTGGAGTCAGAGAGAGGAGGCAGTGCGGCTTTAAACACAGATGAGAGGGCCGGCTGAGGCCTGAAATGTGAGGGTGAGAGAAAGAGCGTGAACTGCCCTCTGGATGGAAAAAGTGCAATTCAGAATGCCCACCATGAATGTAAATTGGTGCAGCCCACTATGGAGAACAGTATGCAGGCTCCTCAAAAAACTAGAGCTGCCATATGATCCAGCAATCCCGCCCCTAGGCACATATCCTGACAAAAGCCTAATTGGAAAAGCTATATGCACCCCAGCATTCACAGAAACTCTATTCACAATAGCCAAAACATAGAAGCAACCTAAATGCCCGTGGCAGATGAATGTATAAACAAGATGTGGTATATATATATATATACTGGAATACTACTCAGCCATGAAAAAGAATGAAATAATGCCACTTGTTGCAACATGGATGGACCTAGAGATTATCAGAGTAAGCAAAGTAAGTCAGAAAGAGAAAGACAGATACTGTATGATAGCACATATATGTGCAATCTAAAGTAGGACACAAATAAACATATCTGTGAAACAGGAACAGACACACAGTCATAGAGAACAGACCTGTGGTTGCCACGGGGGTGGGGAGGGGAGGATTAAGAGTTTGGGACTAGCAGAGGCAAACTAGTATATAAAGGATGGATTAAAAAAAGCAAGTTCCTACATAGGGCACAGGGAACTATGCTCAATATCCTGTGATAAACATAATAGAAAAGAATATGAAATATTCTTGCATACATATTCATGTACATACATATACACATACATGTGAAACAGATACTTTGATGTACAGCAGAAATAAGGAGCCCAACCTCGAAGGACTCCAGAGGATTAGCTGTCGGGGGAGGCACCTGCCAGGGCTGGAGGCTCAAGAGATTCATTCTCAGGACCAAGGGCATGATGCTGAGGGAATGCCTCTAAAAAATATCCAGATCCTGACTCTTGGAAGCAGGAATGCCTGTTCCCATACATGGAAAAAGGGTCTTTGCAGATGTACCTTAGTTCAAGGTCTTGAGAGGGGAACATCAGCCTGGATGACCTGGCTGGGCCCTAAATGCAATCACCTGTGTCCTCATAAGAGAGAGGGAGTCCAGGGGTTAAGACTTCACCTTCCACGGCAGGGGACAGGATTCCAACCCTGGTCAGGCAGCTAAGACCCCACATGCCACGGAGCTGCTAAACCCACATGCTGCAACGACACAGCCAAATAAATATTTTTTTAAAGAACCATGTAATAAATTTTTTTGAAACTTTAAAAGAGAGAGGCAGAGGGAGATCTGACTGAAGAAAAGGCCACGTGACAATCTCAGCAGAGAGGACCCGTCTCCAGCAAGGGGTCGAGCATCACCCAGGTTTGCAATGAGCGGATGATGACGGATGTACGGATGGAATAAAACACCCCAGATGGAAGCTATAGGGGTCATCCCTTGGGGTGGCCCAAAGTCCCTCCACGGAGTCCTAAACCAGAGTCTGACATCCTCGGGGTGGGCGTCCCTCCGACAACACCAGGCTGGCCTTGACATTCTGTGGGCCTCTAAACTCTAAAGAGAGGATGTGATTCATTCCACAGGCCTTTCACCAGGAAAGGAAGGAAACCAGCCCTCAGATCCCAAACCAAATTTAACTCCTCTCTGCCACACACCACCCCCCCGTGCATACACATAAAACACGTGTACACACACACACGCACGCACGCAGCATCTCTCAGCCTTGCTGGGTCAGGAGTCCACCCCAGGAGCCACACTGGGGGCGGGAGTCAGCAGCATCTAGCTCAGCCTTCTCCCCAAGGTGTACCCCACAGCTCCCTCAAAACACAGTCGAGACAAATCCTCATCAGAGTGTGTGTGTGGTGGGGGTGGGGAGGGGGGCGCATACCAGGGACTTCCCTGGTGGTCCAGTGGTTAGGACTCCAGGGCTTCCACTGCAGGGGGCACAGGTTCCATCCCAGGTCAGAGAACTAAGATGCCGCCAATGTGGCCCCAAAATAATAATTTTTAAAATAAAAGCAAGAAGAGGGGAGGGCATTCCAGCATAACCCTCCGGCTCACTCTCCCTCACCATCCCTCTCTCTCTCTCTCAGCTTCGAGACAAAGAGAAGACTAAAGAGACAGCAGACCTACCGAGCAGGAAGTAACGACCTTGGGCCACACTGGGAATCTCGGATCCAGCAAATAAGCCTGTCTCTCAGGAGGACATTAGCGTCCTCGGCACCTGGGAGACGGCACTTAATTTATGTTTTCAATCCCCGGGCGGGTTGAATGAGTATGTTCACACTTTGGAATGTTTCATCTGAATAGATAAATGTTATTTTTTACTTCTCAAGAAGAAGAGAGGTCTTTTTCCACGTGAAAAGACGCCCCAAATGTCACAGAAACACCAGCCCAAAGGTTCTGAAACAGTCTTAACTATCCGGCCGTTTCCTTTGGGCTTCGGCCCAAGATTTTATCGCAGACCTCCCAACATACTGCCCTTGGCCTGCTTTTTCCTCCTCTGGAGCTCTGCTCTGAAGGGGAAGATCTGAGCAGCTCACAGATATAAGGGAATTAACTCCACACTAAGTTGCTGAGGCTACCTTATCCCCACTGCGTAGCTAAAGCTTCCCTGGGCTGGGCAAGTGACACGGCACAGGCAGAAATGAGGATAAAATCAGGGCATGATCCCTGCCCCAGAATCCCAGCTGTCTTCGAAAGTGGACCTTCAAGGTCCAGGGACTTCCACCGCCAAGGGCACTGAGCATTCACAGGACAGAAGACACTGGTGATTGTCCTGAGTACTCTTCTTCCTAGCTGTGTGATCCTGGGAAAACTGCTTAACCTCTCTGGGCCTTCATTTCTTCAAAGTCTAATAGCACGGCCCGCCCTCCCTTCCAGGGCTCTGAAGATTAACGCGCTTGTCAGAAGTAAATGTGCTTGGGGGTAAACCTTAAAGCACATACACTAGGGACGCCCCATGATTAGGATTTTGCCTTCCAGTGCAGGGAGAGCAGGTTCGATCCCTGGTGGGGGTACTAAGATCCCACATGCCTCAGGGCCAAAAACACAAAACATACAACAGAAGCAATGCTGTAACAAATCCCAGTAAGGACTTTAAAATGGTCCACACCAAGAAACCTTGAAGAAAAAAAAAATGTACACTGTTGGCCACTGCCATGTCACTGCCCAGTCTATAGTTAGAACGAGCTTTTGTTTCTTTCCTTACAGGGAACTATGTTCAATGGGCTTCCCAGGTGGCGCAGCGGTGAAGAATCCGCTTGCCAGTGCAGGATACGAAAGAGATGCGGGNACACCTCTTTAGGTCTCAGCTTTAACAGCCCTTCCTCAGCATAGTGGGTTGAATAGTGTCCCCACCCAAAATTCAAGTCCACCTGGAATCTTGAGATGTGACCTTATTTGGTCTTGGCAGACATCATGATGCCGTGACGAAGTCATCCTGGATTAGGGTGGGCCCTGATCTGATGACTGCCATGCTCACTGGGGGGAAAAAATGCAGATACACAGACTTAAGCCAAGACACACTAAAAGGGGAACTCCCTGGCGGTCCAGGGGTTGAGACTCGGTGCTTTCACTGATGAGGGCCGGGGGTTCAATCCCTGGTCTGCAAGCTAAGATCCCACAAGCCATGCGGTGCTGCCAAAAATATAAAAATAAAAGAAAGACTAAGGATTGCTGGAGGCCACCAGAAGCTGGAAGAAGAAAGGAAGGGCCCCCTCGTAGCCTTTGAGAGGGCGGGGCCCTGCAGACACCTTGATTTTGGATTCCAGACAATGAGAGTACATTTCTGTGTTTTCAATAACACAGATGGTTGCTTACTTGTTATGCCAGCCTCAGGAAAGCCTGAGCCCACCCCTCAGCTAAAGTCTCTCCTCCAGACTATCTTCAAAGCCTGTTCCTCTTCCCCTCTCCTGTGATGTCCTGCCTCCACCCTGCCCATAAACTCCCAGGGAGAAGGGGGTCTTGACTGCCAGGGTTCCCTATGGCAACCAGCTCAGAGCCCTGCGCTAGCAGGCATCCGCAAGGGGTTTCCAAATGAATTAATTTGACAGATGCATCAAGGGGAGCTCAGAAAAGTCAAGGGGCTCACCCAGGGCCACACTCCGGGGAGAGGCAAACCGCTGGCTTCTACACCTGGGCTCAGAAGAACCCCGCGCGATGCTGCCGCCCGCCCCACACCGACTCCGGCCCTGCAGGACAGGTCTCTTCTCCCTCTTGATTGCCAGCTGCCAGGCCCGTGCCCTCCGGGCTCTGCGCCCGATTAGGGGCCTGACCTCCTGGGCAGGGATCCGTCTCCACTCAATGAACCTTTTATCTCAATTACAGAGATAAAAGCCTCTGTAATCCCCCAAGGGGACCCCGTGGGGGCAAGGGTCGCCCTGGGGTTGGGTTACTCCCGTGCCCACGGGGCAGTTCCCGTGGTGGTCACCCAAGACGGTGGGCCTCGCCCATGGGAATCACCCTCCCAGTCACCCCGGCTCCTCCCACAAGCCCTCCAAGTCTGACTCTGCAGCTCTCCAAGGGCCGGACACCAAACGGCGCGGACTCTCGGAGGAAAAGTAGTTCCAGGAGGGAGAACGCGGCCACGGGGTGCTAGCCTGCCCTTTAACAATTACCTAACACTTGTTCGTCACCCTTTTTAACAAGAGAGCAAGACCGCGGGCTCAAGTCCCCTGGGGCGTTGGAGCCTTTGGGGTCTGCCTTCTGCAACGTGGTTTCCGGGTCTGCTCTGTCTGCGTCCACGGCTTCCACCGCCGCACGCACGGCCTCCACCAACCGCGCATCGGGCACTGTGTTTAGCGCGCGCAGTTGGTTGCATCGGAGAATAAAGAAGCCCCAGTATACGGAAGGCCGACTATCCTAGATGGGGCTTACGCATCTGCAGATTTGGGTATGGGTCCAGAACCAGTTCCCCAAAGAACCAAGGGATGATTGTACCTGCTGACATGGTCTGGTTTCCTTCCTATCCTCTCGGTATATGTACACTTACATACACATATTATATATTATTATATACACATATACTTTATTTTATTGGCCGCTGAGGCTTGTGGAATCCTATTTCCCCAACCTGGGATGGTACCTGCGTCCCTTGTAGCGGAAGCATGGAGCCTTAACCACTGGACCGCCAAGGAAGTCCCAGTTTCCTTTGTATCTTGAAAGTAAACTGTTTATGGCCAGAGGTACTGGTTTTTTCAATTTACAATAAGGATACATAGATTTGTTTGCGCACAACTAGGTGGGGTGACTTTAAAGCACAGTGACTAATAACATAGAAGGTATACATGCATACGGAGTTTTATTGCCCTTCAAAGATACTGTGTTTTTCACAAATGGAAGTTCTCTGACTACCCTGTGTGGAGCAAGTCTACCGGTGCCGTTTTCCAACAGCTTTTGCTGACTTCCGATCTCAGTGTCACATACTGGTAACTCTTGGAATACTTCAAACCCTCCACCAGCAGAAAGGTGATGACTCACTGAAGGTTCAGATGATAGCAGTGTTTTTGATCATTAAAGTATTTTTTAAATTAAAGTGTGTACACTTTCTCTTTTTTTTTTTTTTAGCCATCATGCTATTGCACCCTCAACAGACTACAGTATAGTAGTTATGTTTATAACTTGTATGTGCTTTGGGAATCCAAAAATTCACGTGACCCGCTTTATTGTCATATTGGCTTTACTGCAGTCATCTAGAACCGAACTTGCAATGTCTTTGAGGTCTGCCTGGATAGATGCAGGAAAAATTATGAAGATGGTTGTGTGGATGACAGAGCTTGGGGAACTCGGCCCTCATCCATTCATCTGTTCACTCACTCTTCACTTTAGCAAAGATGCAGACACACATATGACACCTCCAGCAGCTTTGTAATAAATTCCTCAGCTCTATCCAGAATAGAGTGATATGTTACACGACTGTGTCTCCTGGGCCAGGTGCCCATAAGGATCACTTAGGGGAGATTTCTTTTTTAATATGGATGTTCAGGCCCCACACTAGGTCCCAGACCACCCAAATGGTGGCCCCAGCACCTGCATTTTCTTCAAGCTGCCCGGGATGGGGGTGGGGGATTCTTTTTTGATCTTAGTCCCCTCCCCCCACCCAGGGATCCAACCCACGGCCGCTGTAGTGGAAGCATGGTTTTAACCACTGGACTACCAGTCCCTGGGGCTGGGGCTTTCTTACATTTTGAACAGCCAAGTCTCAGGTATTTAGCTGGTCCTTCTCACCTCCAGCACTTCCCACCCAGTGACCCAGGAACTGGGGCTATGGTGTCCAGAGAGCACCCTGGAAGAATTAGATCCAGGCCTTAAACATTCCTTCCCAAAACGACACATGTGCCCTGGGTCAGTGAGAAGCAAGTTCTTTAGTGTTTCCTCAGCATTTAACCCTGGCTTCCCAGGTGGCTCAGTGGCAAAGAATCTGCCTGCTAGTGCATGAGACGTGAGTCCAATACCTAGGTCAGGAAGATTCCCTGGCGAAGGAAATGGCAACCCCTCCAGTATTCTTGCATGGGAAATTCCATGTACAGAAGAGCCTGGTGGGCTACAGTCCATGGGGTCAAAGAGACTGAGACACGACTGAGTGACTAAACAACAGCAGCAGCAGCTAACCCAGGCCGGCACCCTGAGGGAGCATGGGCTCGTCCTGAGAAAGCTCACAATTACAGTAAGTGGTTTTAAAAACAAACCCAAGAACAACAGGGGTTGGTGGGATGTGGCTGCGCATAGATGGTGGGAATGTAATATGGTGCAGTGGCTGTGAAAAAGTGTGGTGGCTCCCCAAATGATTAAAAATACAATTATCATATCACCTGGCAATTCTAGCTTCTGGGGATCTACCTAAAAGAATTGAAAGCAGGATTTCAAAGAGATATTCGTACACCCATGTTCACAGCAGCCTCATTCACAATAGCTAAAATGTGGAAGTAACCCAAGTGTCCAGCGACAGATGACTGGATAAACAAAGGATGGTGTTTATATACAATGGGATATTATACAGCCTTAAAAAAGGAAGGAAATTCTGACACGTGCTACAACATAAACCTTGAGAATGCTATGCTCAGTGAAATAAGCCAAACAAGGACAAATACTGCACAAGTTCATATAAAGTCCCCAGAGTAGTGAAATTCATAGAGACAGAAAGTAGAATAATAGTTTTCAGGGGTTGCAGGGAGCTGGGAATGGGGAGCTAAGGTTTAACGGGTGCAGAGTTTCAGTTTTGCAAGATGGAAAGAATTCTGGAGGTAGATGGTAGAGACTGTAGTGTATTTAATGACACCAAACTATATACTAAAAAATGGCTAAGATGCTAAATTTACACTTTGTGTATGTCATCACAATTTTAAAATAACTTATTTTTTAATCTGGTGCCAGATATTGGGGCCTGGGTTCAAATCCCAATTCTACCCTGCTGGCATTCGGCAAGTTACTTTATCTCTGTGTTGCTTCATCTGTAAAATGGGTATAGAAATAAGATCCCTGCCTCAGGGGGTATCACTGGGAGCATGAAATGAGTTAACTGTTACTAAGTGCTGAGCAGAGCACACGGTTCACAGCATGTGTTCAATGTGTTAACAGTTGTATGATGGTGGTGGCTATTATTACCATCCCCCATCCACACCCTGCTGGACTGAGGGAGTTCTGAGCACCCATGTGAAAAATATGTACATCCAGGGGGGTGTATTTTTGGCTTTGTGGTTTGGTTAATGCCAGGTGCCATTTATGAGCGAGGAGTAAAGACATACCGCGGGTGAGAAAGTGGAGAAATTAAACTCACTGAGGACAGAGGCCAATCTGGCAATAAATAACATGTCCCTGCCTGGAGCCTGGGGTCAACAGCCCTCTGCCCTCAGCTTGCTGGGTGACACAGGCCAAGGCCCTGCCTTCTCTGGGCTTCAGCAACCCCAGTCCCTCAGCCCACCCTGCTGTGAACCCAAGGGCGAGAAACCAGCCCATGGACCAACCTGAGCCCCACCAGAACCCCAGTCGAGGAGGGGAAGCCAGATGCCCCCAAGTGACCACAGGGTCAGAGGGGCTCGGACACTCTCGGCCTTTCTGCTTCTGACTCATCGCAGCAGGAAGTTGGGGCGGGGTTGGGGGGGGTGGAACCCGCCTACCATCCACACATCAGCCTCACCAAGGCCAACGACCCCATTTGTCAAGGGCCCAGTTGGGCAGAACACAGAGTCCCTGGCCTTAGACAAACATTTTACCCAGAATATCTGGAAAGGAAGTTCCCCGAGGGGTCACCTCATCCATCACCCTGCCTCCATCACCCTTTAGTCTCCCCCTTTTCAAAGAAACACATCCAAGCTCATCCAATAAGCACACCGGGATGCGTATGATGCTGATACTGTGGAAATAGTATTATCATTATATTAATGATAATTGTAACAACAGCTGCCAAAGACATGCCCAGCTAATCAGAACTTCACAGGCAGCATCTCAGTCAATCCTCCTAACAGCACATGCAAAGTGGCTCTCCTCTCATCCCCACTGTACAGACAGGGAAACTGAGGCTGAGGACTGAACTTGCCTGGAGTAACAAGCAAGTGGTGAAGCCAAAGACTCGAGCCCAGGCTTTCTGGACACGAGAGCCTGCCTGCTCTACTCCGTCTGCCCCTCTGTGATTCAGAGACCGTTNCTATTTTTAGGGGGTTCATTTTATTTTTTTGAAATAGTTCTTTAAGAATCTTTTTTTTTTTAATTTGGAACAATTCAAATGTGTATGTTAATGAACAAAGACAAGTGATACTGGCTTTTCAGCTTATGATATTGACATAAAATTTTCCTTTTGGCTACATTTCAGTAAAGCAGCAGGTTTATTTAAATAAAACTTATAGTAAATAATAGTATGGTCAGCCCTTAGCTAATGGTAAAACAGAGACACTGATGCCCCACTGTGAGGTCTGGGAAACAAGAACAAAAACAGAAATCCTGGACCTTCTAGATATGTCCTTTTGTCCCAGAGTGGGAAGAGTTTCTTTCATTCATTCATTTGGCTTTTAGCAAGTGTTTTTTAGTGCTTGTCATGTCGGGACACTGTTCACTGGCATCTGATGGTGAACAACAAATGGTCTGCCCTTGAGGAGCTCCACATTAGAGGGAATACAAACAATTAAAGAGATAGTGGGGGGCTTCCCTCGTGGTCCAATGGCAAGACTCCGTGCTCCCAACATAAGGGACTCTGGTTCAATGCCTGGTCAGGGAACTAGATCCCACATGCCACAACTGAAAGATCCCATATGCCTCAATGAATACCCTGTGCAGCCAAATAAATATAAATGTTTTTTAAAATAAAAATAGACAGGGACCCATATGCCATGGTAAGTGAGAAAAAAGGATCACGGCTAAGTAATAAAAGAATCAGATGCTTTAAAACAATTGATAGTAAATTATACAAATATTTAACAGTAAGAAAAAGAATGATAATATGTTCATAGCAAAAATAATGGTGTATAATACTATCTTTATTAATGAACAAAGACAATGTTTCAATGTAGAACCTACTCTTTGCATATATTATTTCATTTATTCCTTACTACAACACTGCTAGTTCCTTGTTATTAAATTTATCTTACAGGTGAGCAAACAGTCATCCTCAAACTCACACAAACTCACAACATCCCAGCAGTGCTGGGATTCAAACTCAGATCTTCTTGCTGCCAGAACCTGAGCATATTACTAAGTCATGTTGCCTCACTAGAGCAGATGTGGGAGGACCAAGGGAGAGAGTAGGGAAGTGGAAGAAAAGTGTGGAGCAAAGAGGAGGAATAACGGAGGAGAAGCAAAGAGGAAAAAGACGTCAAGGAATGGATGAGAAGAATAGGAAAGCAGATGAAGGAAGAGGAAAAGGAGGGGGCAGGAAACCTGTATCCCTGTGATGGGGGAATTAAGGAAAACTTGAATCAACTCAGGCAGGGGGTGGGCCGGGCATGGTGACAATGCCAAATCCATTGTTCAAAATCCTTTAAATTGAAGACATGAAATGTTCACAGTACGAAAATATACAGAGAAATATATATATTTGTGGTTGCCCATGGCTGGAGGCTTTGGAGTAAATGAGGGGTGACTGCTAATGTGTACAGGATTTATTTTTCAGTGATAAAAAAGATTCCAAAATTAATTATGGTAATTGTTGTAGAACTCTGTGAATATACTAAAAACCACTGGACTGTATACTTTCTTAATGCATTTCATTTAATTTTTTATTAAAGTATAATTGACATACATTACTAGTTTTAAGCATATATATTGCAAAATGATCACCACAATAAATCTAATTAACATCTGTCACTATACATAAAGTTTTCTTTTTCTTATGATGAAAACTTTTTAAGATCTACTTTCAGCAACTTTCAAATATGCATTACAGTATTATCATTAACTACGGCCACCACGGTGTACACTGTATCCCCAAGACTTATTTTTCAGACGGAAATTTGTGCCTTTTGAACAGCCATTTCAACCCCCAGCCTCCACCCCATGTTGGCAACCACCAACCTGCTCTTTGCGTCTATGAACTGGAGATGTTGCTTCTGTTTTGGCTTTTTT